GGCACGCAGTTGTGGTCCCTCTGCCCCCCAGGGCCTGGTGCTTAGGGCTGGCTGGTGGGGGTTGGGGGTGTGGGGGCGGTGGAATGCCCCTCCTGGGCACCGGTGGGCCTTGCAGCTGGTGCTGTAACTTTCCCAAAGATAGCTGCACTTCATCTTCTCCCTTCCCTCCCAGCTACGAGGGGCAGGGGCAAAACTCCAAGACGGCAGCCAGGCGAGGGTCCTGTGACCTGGCACCAGGAAGTGTGCCTCCTTGGTCATGAAAAGGGGGAATGTGCCTCCTCGCAGGATTTGTATTTTTTTTTTTTTCTGTAATTGAAACAATATCTGGTGTGAGGCATCTAATTACCGCTCTTTCCTAGAAATTGAGCGGTAACACGTCCTGTCGATACAAAGCTTTTGTTAAAGTCAAACACGGTTTCCCAGGGCAATTCCAATGAACACTGCACTAAACAATACTTGGGTTTTTAAATAGTTTCTCTAAGTATAATACCGAGCCTGATGCAGTCTACCTCATCTTTTGTTCTGGCTCCATTTCGAAAGTACCTTTGTACTCCCGTGTTCCTGCATAACAAGAGCTGATAGTTCCTGCTCACTTGAAGAAGATCTTACCAAATTAGACTTTTTAGAAGTGGGAGAGCCTTTCGAGAAATCAGAGCCAACCTACTCATTTGTCAGCGAGACAAACTGAGTCCTGGGGTGAGTCCCTCAGCGCATCAAAAGGTCATAGAGCACCAGACCAAGGTGAGAGCCAGGAGGTCAGGGGCTGGGCAGAGGGAAGTAAGGAAAGGGACACGGGAGGCTGGCAACAGAAGGAGGAACAGGTGATAGTCTGCGTTCCAATCCCACTGTGCTTTGATGCCATCAGCACCCCAACCCTGACCCTAATCCTCACCCTACCTAACCCCATCAGCACCCAACCCTACCCCAACCCTAACCTAACCCCATCAACATCCCAACCCTAGCCCTGACCCCAACTCCAACCACCTTCCAACCAGAGAAAAGGCAAATACATCCCTGAAGGACTTCATCCTTTGCAGAGCGCTCTCACGTCCTTCATCGTGAGAAATAAAGATGAAATCCTAAGATCCCCAACAGACTGAACAGACCACCCCTTGGCCAAGGGGACCCCAGAGAAACTTGGAAGCTGAGTTCCCACCATGATGGGAGGGAGGTGGGACCCACCTCGTTGTACCCTCTCCCTCCCTTGCTAACCATCCCTGGGCTTCCTCCCTCAGGGCTGCAGAGAAACTGGCTCTTCCAAAAGACTCCGCCCTGGTTTCAACCAACGCCTGACCTGCCCCTCCCTGGTGCCAGTTTGACACAGCAACCAGCCAGCATTCCTTCCTGGTAGGAGACCACGGGCCACAGAGAGCTTCTGGCCAGTCTGCGGGGGATGTGTAGAAAGGGTTTCCGTCTCTTCTGCTTCACCTTTTCACATCAGAGGGCGGAAAACTCCACCCTCAGGTCATGTTGCCATTGCCATGTCTTGAATGTGGGTCCTATGGAGAGGCAGGAAGCTCAAGTGCACGCATGTGTGTCTCCTTTCATGGATATTCATGATTCCTCTGATAGCTTGTTGAATATGTACATTAGGCTCCCCTGCTCAGCAAAGGGAACCTTCCTGTTCCCTTTGCCTCTCCCTCAACACGTCTGTTTCCAGCTTCTTTCCTGAAGCTACGCTTCCCAGCCATCAGAATGGCTGCCCTGCAGGCTGCATACCTCTATGAGGAATAAGGGTCTCCTTTCCAAACTTAGGAACCTTGTCATTCTTCAGTTGACAACCTTTTAGGCTCTAGGAGTCCACTTTGTTCACTGATATATCCCTAGGTCTCAGACAGTGTCCAATACAGAGTGAGCACTTCATAAACATTTGTTGGATGAATGGACAGTGAGCACGTCCGTCAGTGGCGGCTGGGCGTGCATACTCGCCTATCAGCACGTGTGTGTGGAGCCTCGTTCTGTCTCCAGCAAATTCGATTCGTGGCTTAAAGCAATAGAAATTTATTATCACAGCAATGGAGGCCAGAAGTCTGAGGTCAAGGTGTTGGCAGCACTGTGCTCCTCCCGAAGGCTCCATGGGGGGATCCTTCCCTGATTCCAGGAGTTCTTTGGCCGTGACCCCATCTCTCCACTCTCCCCCTCCCTCCCTGTGTGTCTCCTCTCCTAATAAGGACACCAGTCATACTGGATTAGGGTGGGCCCCAATCCAATAAGATCACGTTCACGCGTGCCGGGGGTTAGGACATGGACATAGCTTTCTGGGGGGACACAATGCATTCCATAATGACAGTTTTCTTTCTCTCGTTTTTGTTAATTACATGCTATCAGAAAACAATTAGTATATTTCTCATGAAGATCCAGATCTCTGTCCCTCTTCCTGCATGAGAACTGGCAGGGTGGACTTGCAAGGTAGCTGTTTCCTTCTGACAGGATATGTGCCACGGACCACCCTCCCAGCCCTCCTCTGGCCTGGGTGCTGCAGCCCTGGAGTTGCAGGCCCTTGATCTGCCCAGTGGTTTGCAACTGGGGGTGATTTTGCCCCCCAGAGGTTATCTGGCAATATCTGAAGACATATTCGGTTGTCGCAACTGAGGAGTGCTCCTAGTATCTGGTGGGTGGAGGCCAGGGAAGCTGCCAAACTTCCTACAATGCACAGGGCAGCTCCCATGACAAAGACGAGTGCAGACTAAAACGTCAGTAATGCACAGGTGGAGAAACTCTGTTCTACAGTGATAGGATATTGATCTGGGAATATGGCTGCCATGTAAAGACTACATTTCCCAGCTTCCCCTACATTAGGGGTGGGCATGTGACCAAGTTCTGGCCAATGGGGCATCAGCGTAAGGGAGGAACACAACCTCCAGGTGAGGCTGCCCCATGATGGAAGGGCCATGGGCTCCCATCCCACCATTGTGAGGCCATGGACGTGGTGCCAGGGCCCAAGCTGCCCACTGGGGATGGCAGGGAAAAGGCAGAAGGGGCCTAAAACTGGGGCTGCCCACTGGGGATGGCAGGGAAAAGGCAGAAGGGGCCAGGAAGTCCTGCCCAGACTTCCATGTGGGACAGAAAGGATCTTTTATCTTGCTCAAGCTGCTGTGCTTTGTGGTCTTCTTGTTACAGCAGCATCACCTGTACCTTGACTTACTCACAGTTATAAATCTCAGTCCAGGTCCATAGCCTCCCATGACAAATTTCTGGTTTAAATCAGAAGCTTTCTGGGAGGAGAAAACTCGAGAAGAAAACATAGCAGATCTTGCTGAGTTTGGGCCCAAGGTGTCCAGGTTCCAAAACAAACATTCCAGGGCTGTGGACAGTGGCGAGGACAGCTCAGCCTGCATCCCTGCCTTCCACAAATACTTGGGAATCAGGATCGACGCAGGAAGCTGGAGGAAGCTCCCAGGGTCAGGGCAAATGTGAGCATTCTTAGCTTATTTTCCCAAACATGTTAAGGACTCTTCTTCATTTTCCTATTAAAAAAACCTCAAAGCCAAACAAAACAAAACAAATCTCTGAACTCCCTCCAGCTCTGAAGCACTTGTCTGTTCTGGTCAGATTCACAAATCGTGGGCATAAATTACTTTTGTTGAATTAACCATTCCTACCCAGAACATTCTCTGGATTCTACCTGGAAGCAGCTGAAATACAAGGTATCAAACCTGAGGATGGCAAGGGTGGCCTTAGGGAGCACGTCACACCTCACACGTGGGCACCCGCCACCTATGGTCCTGCCCACACTTTCCACGCGGGCACGAGAGCAGGTGGTGTGTGGTGTCTGTGGTTTCCATAACCTCTGGCCACAGCTGGGGACAGAAGCTGTGTCACTCTGTGGCCCTTTGGAGCCATGCACATATTCAGGGCTCAGCAAATGAGAAGCAGCAATGCAGGGCGGAGTGGCTCGGGTGAGAGCTGGGCACAGGTGCTTGCTGGGTCTCAGTGTCTTAACTGAAGGAAAACTGCCTGCCTCATGGAGAGAGGGGTTCCTTCATTCATTCGCCATGCTGGGTGCTGGGGTGAAAGGTTGATTAGCACTGGGGTGCGCACCCCAAACAGGCTACATGGGAAACAGCAGCCCCTGACAGTGGGAAAGTGTGGGTGACGGGGGTCCCCAGGGAGGCGACCACCTTAGGGAAAGAAGCCCCAGCGTCCTGCCAGGGGCCCCTCTGTGGTCTTTGTCGGGGTGAGTGGCTACCGCAGAGGTGGTCACTGTGGGTAGAGACTGGATAGGGTAAGGCCTGAGCCCAAGCCCCAATCTACCGGCCACTCCTTGGAGACCTGGGGAGCCGCATCTGCTCCCACGGCCTCCGCTTTCTCATCTGCAAAGTGGCGAAACCATAGCACTCAACCCTCAGGGGTGATATCAAGGTGAAATAAAACAAAAGGCTTTCAAATTCTGTTGAACACCCTGAGAAATCATTGGAGGTCTCCAAAGGACAGCTACCCATGTTACGGAGGTCTGGGGTGAGCCTCAGTGGGTCAGTGGAGGATGCACTGGCCACAGGGTCCTGGACTCTGGCAGCCCGTCTGAGGTGGGGAGGGGTGGCCCATATAGCAGTGGGGAAATGGCCCAGGAAGCCTTCCCTGTGCTGTCAAGGTCAGGGCAGAAGCCCCCTCCACAGGAAGCCCTTCCTACTGCCCCAAGCCAGCACAGGCACCCTCAGCTCCTGTGGCCAGGCACTGCCCAAGGCTGATTTATCTGTGACCCCAAGCACAGCACGAAACCTGATACAGCGGAGCACCAGAACTATGTACTGTGTTGAAAATAATCAGAGCTGTCCTAAGATGGAAGCAGGCTGCTCAGAAAGCAGAGAGCTCCCCATCGCCTGGGGTGTGCAAGCAGAGACTGGGAACGGCCTGAGGCACATCACCAGGCAGACTCAAATGTCAGCTGGGAGCAGATCCAACAGTGATGATGATAACGGCGATGAAGATGATGATGATGAGGAGGAGGAAGAGGAGGGTCAACTGTAATTTACCGAGAGTTTGCTACATGCCAGGGATCCTAAGGTCTTAGTTCTCTTTATTAGAATTGTTTTTATTTGCCAAAGTAACTCAAGCACTTGGAACAAATTAAACAATACAGGGACAGATAAAGAGAAATGTGGCATCGGTCCCCCCCCAGGCCCACCCCTCCCCCAAGCCAGGTACCCAGGGCTGCCCAGTACAGATGGGTTGGCAGAGGCAATTGGTACACAGTACCCCAGTTAGTACTGAAAGTTGAGTATTAGAGACTCAGACGAGACAATTTGCCCAAGGACCCACAGCTGGGTAGACGTTGGGGGTGGCACAGAGTTTCAGTTGCCTCTCCAAGCTCTCCTTGGAGTCCTGAGATGCAGCTCAGCCTGACCCTCCTCTCCTCTCCTGGTGGCACCTGCTGGCCATGCGTCCTCCTCCCGCAGTGGCCCGAGGCTCCTGGGCAAGTCTGCCCAGCCCAGGCCTGTGCAAGGCCCTGTGCCCACACATCAGACTCCATCACGCCTGGATCTAGCAGGGCTGGCATTTTGATACCCATCCACGGGACTCCCGGGTTCCACCTCACACTCCCACAGTGCCCTCCAGGACTTGGGGGCCTGGAAAGACCCAGAAAGACCACTGAGTCCTGTCCCTCGATTCACAGGTGGTGAAGCAGAGGCTCAGATTTGCCCAAGATCACATAATGACTCAACGGCCGAGGCAGGGCTGCCAGCGGGCATTCCTCGGGACTGTCTGGAATTTGACGGTGCAGTGGCCTCCACCACACACGTTTCCACTCATCCATCCCTCAAACACCCGCGGGCGTTGCATCCATCTCCTGTGGCTGCGGTGAGAAATGATCACAAATGCCACCACTTAGAACCACACTAAGCCTCCTCTCCCAGTGCTGGAGGTCAGAAGTCTGAAGTGGTCTGCAGGGCCGGTGCCTTCCGGAGGCTCCAGGCCAGAGTCTGTCTCTTTGCCTCTCCAGCTCCCAGAAGCACCGCGTCCTGTAGCCACTGGTCCCGTCTGCACATCGCTCTGACCTCTGCTTCTGTCATCACACCTCCTCTTCTGGGACCCTCCCGCCTCTTTCACTTACGAGGACCCTGATGACACTGGGTCCACAGGTGTCACGGGGATCACCTCCCAGATGCAAGGTCCTCAGTCACGTCTGCAAAGTCCTTTTGGTATGCAGGGTCGCATGGGTCTGTGGGACATCACTCTCCAAAGGAGGCAGAATTGAGCTGGGGACAACTCACGAGCTTGGGGGACAACTCATGGCTTGGATATGTTCAGCTGCAAGTTACAGAACCTTCCTCCCTAAAAGGGTAAAACAGTAAATCTACTTAGTACCTCCCTCGGCAGGAGGAAGTCTGGCCAAAGCGGGGGTCCTGGGTGGGTTCTTGGAGGCTCAAGAACAATGGCACTGGGGACACACCCTCTTTCCTTCCATGGTTTTCATCCTTATCCTTAGCTCCTCCTGGTCACGTGACAGCTGCTGCTGCTCCGGGCATCACATCCTCACATGTGCCCTACCAAGCAGGAAGGCAGGCTGTGGGCCTTCTGACACATTTCGCCCTTGTCCTCAGGCAGGTTTCATTGGCTGGGACAGGGTCAAGTGGCCTCTCTCCTGCAGCCACCCTGCAACGGGCAGGGCCCAGATGGCTCCGGGCTGAGACCTCTGCAGATGTCATTCTGGGGAGTATGCACAGTGGCCACTAAGGCTGGGAAAGGTCACAGAGGAAAACCCAGCCAGCTCGAACCCAGAATCCAGGCAGCAGGCCCACTGCCAGCCTCCCTGCTAGGCCCAGGCCCAGGATGGTGGAGCAGGAGGTGAGGTCTTCCAGGCCGCCCTACCCTCGTCACCTCTGCATCTCCAGGGCTGCACGCAGAGGATGCTCCCTGGTGTCTGCGGACTGCGTGACAACTGAACCAGTGAAGGGCTGTCGGTTGAGGCTGGGCACTGGAGGGCTCTGAATGTCAGGCTCAGGCAGCTGGGGGCAGCCGCTGAGGGCAGCAGAGAGCCCCTAGCAGGAGAAGCTAGGTGGAGACTGAAGCAGGTGCAGCGGGCGGAAAGAGGTGGGGCTCGCAGGAAGCCGTGTGGCAGCTGAAAGGGTGGGGGGTGGCAGGGATCTGAGCTTGGACCCCAGCAGGGCCAGGGCTGAGGTACACAGCTGGTGCTCAATAAGACATGCTGACCCACTGCTTTAATCTATTACACTCATTGCAAATCAAAGCCAGTCCCCGAAGCAGTTCTTTCTCCAGAGGGACTTCCGCCAGCTCTGTAAGAACTCGACTGTGCCAAACCCATCAATGCTGATCAATATGCAACAGCTCAGAGAGCCAGCCCAGGCCACGGCTCCCTGCCACATCCTGACAAGACAAATCAGTTTCTGGAATTCTTCAGGGAGGGGCAGGGAGAGAAGCAAGTCTCATTTTTCCCTGACTCGTCTTTAAAAATGAAATTTCAAATAAACATAGGGAAAGAAAGCTCAGCTCAGCTCAGCTCAGCTCCGGGGAGAAAACATGTCCTCTTGGTCTTGGTCTTGAGACAAGAAGACAGGGCTGGCTTCCCTCAGTTCCCACACCCACCAGGGCTGAGTGGAGAGCAGTCTCGCCCAGACTCCAGACTCTTCCCTTTCCCCTGCAGACACCAACCAAGGGCAGAGATGGGCAGGCGCCACCCCCACCCCCAGGAGCTCACAGCCAAGTTGGGGGAGGGGGTGGCTCAGGGCTGGCGAGGGCCTCAGAATGCTCTGGTCCAATGCTCCCATTTTACAGACAGGGGAAACTGAGGCCCGGGAAGCCAGAAGGCTCCCCCACTGCCAGACAATAAGTAAGGGAATGAGCAGCCACATCTGATGATCCCAAACACCACGGAACCGAGAAAAGGTCCTGTCGGCCAGGGTCACTGGGTCTGGCACAAGCAGCCACCAGGTGAAAGCACCCCCTGCACTCAGCACCCAGCAAGCATCAGTGTGGCTAAGGAGGCTGGAGCCAGGCCCACAAGCCCATTTGCCCTTCACGGCACCCATCCTGCCACCAGGCTTTCATCCAGCTCCTTCTGTGAGCTGAGAGCCCGGCCCTGGACCAGGCAGTGGGGATGGGACACAGTTGAGACGCATGGTTACTGATGATGGCCACACCCCACGGGGCATGCAGGAGGCCAGCAAAAGGGGCCCAGATCCAGCCTGGGAGGTCAGGGAGGCTTCCTGAAGGAGGAACATCATGGGACAAGGCTTGAAGAAAGAGAGCCCCAGGAAAGGTGCGGCAGAGGGCATCCAGGCCTGTGGACAGCACATGGCCAGGCCCAGAGTCCACAGGAGGTAGTGAGAAATGTCCTCGAAGTCTGGAGAGGAGGGCTGACTCCAAGAGCCAGGTGGAGCTGTGCAGGCAAGGGAGGCGATGCAGAAAACAGCTGCAGCCCTGGAAGAGCTGGCTGCAGCAGAAACCCAGAAATACATCTTCTCCTCAGCCTAGGAGGGTGGGCAAGACCACAGGTGCCACATATGTGCATACACATCCATATGTGCGAACCCATGTGTGCACATGCATGACTGGGGTCATGCATAGGGACAGATGTGTGCAGCACAGGCATAAAAACGTGTGTGCAATGTGCATGGATTTGTGTTATCTACATAGGCAAGGGTGTGCATGCATGCGGTATGCACAGGTATGTGCACAGCATGGGTACATAACATTTCTACATATGCCAGTGTCATGTATATGCATGTGTAGAGATACATGTGCAAAGAGCACATGTATGTTAGTGCATATGTATGTATGCACCTGCATGTGAATAGTACATGGACATGTGTGTGCACACGTAGGCATGCATGTGAACATGTATGTGTGCATACATGTGTGCATATTCTGTATGCATGGATGCACTGCAGAATCCTTATGGTATATGTAGACAGTGTGTACGTGGATGTGTGCATGCATGTGTGCATGAATGGGTTGCATGCTTGCATGCATGTGTGGATATGTGTATGTATGGGTGTTCATGCTTGCATGCACATAGATGTGTGCGTGCACACACATATGCCTTGGCATGTTCATGTGTGTGCATGGATCTATGTGTGCACAAGGACGTGTGTGGATACATATGTGTGTGTGGACACTGTACATGTATGTATGTGCATGCATGCCTGTATGTGCAGGGAGAGGGTTTGAGGAGCCAAGCTCCCCTCCACCCGAGCTGAGGCTGCTCATGAAGCCCAGAGGTGCACACTCACATCCCTTCTCAGGGTCTGCCCGGCCCCAGCTCTTTCTGGCACAGCAGCTGGGGCCCCAAGTCTGATGGCTACATGGCCCTGGGTGGACCAACCCTGTCCTCCTGGGCCCCACGCATCACGGGTGAGATACAGGCGGGTTCACCTCTGCAGCTCCAGGACGCGCCACTTCTAGGTTCTCAGTTCTAGGAAACACCTCTAGGTTTCCCTTCTGAAATCTGCCCACTTCTGCTATGTACCCCCATGCACACGCACACACATCCCCCACAACCCCCGCCAGTGCAGCCTGACTACCCCAGCACCCTCCTTCCTCGCCCCTCCTAGTCGTGCCGAGCCCGCATCGTGCCTCTTCAGGACAGGAAGTCTTGCTGGGTGCATGCTGTTCTGCTTGTTACGGACAATCTGGAGCAGTTCCTCAAGCCTAATTTCAAGGTCTGGGGGAAGAGGCCTCTCCAGCTCCCTTGCAAACAGCTGTGGTCTCCAGGGCCTCCCACCACAGGCAGGCCTGCGTGCAAGGCAACCCCTATGCATGGCCCAGGGCTTCGCTTCCCCTAATGACTGGGCCCCAGCCTTTTGCCCCTTGGCTCCATCCAGGCCCTGGACTGGACCCTTCTGCTCCCCCCCTGGTCATGCCAGGAGGTGTTGCCAGCAGCATGCCAGCATGCTGGCTGCCATCCCCAAGGGCCTGGGCCACTCACTGGCCAGGCGCTCCAGATGCCCTCAGCCTGGCCTGTGAGTGGCCCCTGCCTTCAGCCCTCCTGAGCAGTGGGAGGGTTCATCTAGCTCAGGGCCCCAGGTGCTCCGTGCCCTTTGGCCTCCAAATTCCTGTGCCTGGGCTGCCATCTCTCGGGAACACAGAAGCCAGGATCCTAGGTAGATCCCCATGCCCCTGTGCATCCCCCAAAGCGCTTCTCAAAATGAGAGTCCCTCATGCTGGGGGTGCGGGGCACGCAGATGCCAAGGGAGACAGCCCTCCTCCAAAGCCTTCGTCTGGCCCCTGCCACTGCTCTTTCCTGAGTCCTCCTGTCTCCCCATGCCCCCAGTACGAAGTCCACCCCCACCGGAGCAAGCACAGCCTACAGAGGCCTCCCCTTCCTCTTAACGCCTCCCCCTTCTCTAAGCACAGTTTGGTCACCTCCTTCAGGAAGGCTTCCTTGACAACCCTGCTCTTAGGCTGGGGGAGGAGCCCCAGGGCACTGATGGTTGTCAGCGCATTCACCTCAGTGGGTGGCACCGTCCACCACAGATGGTGCGCGCCTCAACTGAGGCCAGGGCCCCTCACTCTGTACCACTGCAGGGGGCTCAGTAGAGACAAGGGATCCACTGCGCCAACCATGAAGGAAGCAGGTGTGTGTGGGCTTCCCTGAAAAATGTACCTCCAGGTGCCCTGGGCAGGTGGCACCTTTTAGGCAACCAGGACCAGGAGTGCCTTTAGCAAGGATGGTGACTCTCCACCTTCTCTGGGTCACACACCTCCCACAGGACAGCCATAGCCTTTTGCTTCCCCAAAGGGCACATGTGCCCCAGACTAGCACAGGACTGACATGGAAGGCTTTGGCTCCAAAGTGCGCTCCTGCTTGGCAGGCCCATCAACTGAAATATTTGCTTTCTGCCTGGCCCCGGCTTGGCCTCCACACCCCCAGTGCAGGCCCCGTTGGTGACAAACATGGTGAAGAACGAAGCTGTAGCTCCTGGCAGCGTCTCTGCGGAGACAGACAGGCTCCTCAGTAAAGCTGAGCAGCTGAGAACACGACAGGCTCTGAGACTAAAGCTGGCACCCTTCAGGAGCTTAGAGAGAAGCTGCCTCAGGCCACGGGCATGGATAGGCATCCCAGGGGCGGGGAGCAGTCACTCCAGCCCCTCCTCATGATGACCTCCTGGGCACCCAGAAGCGCCCCTTCCCCGCCGGCTCTAGATACAGGATGGACAGCTTCCCTACCTCTCCCCTGCGGGCCCATGCAGGGGGAGGCCAGCCAGCAGGGGTGCGTTTCTGGACGTCTAGGGGAAGGCTTGTCCCTTCGGTCCTAGCGGAGAAACACATCAGGCCTGAGAACTCCAGCTCTCCTCCTGGACCACCTCGTCCCTCGAGGTCCCTCTCCCACAGACCCCAGGCGGACTGGAGGCAGAAGCCAGCACCCAACATGGGCCACAGAGTGACAGCGCACATCTGCAGAACGGAGGTGCACGGACTGGGGCGAGGGTACACGGGTGCTACCTCAACGGCCGCTCTCTCCTGAGCCCACCCTTGCAAATAGCTCATCATCCAGGCAGCTCCGTTCTGGGTGTTTGTCAGAGGTGGTGACTTTGAACACTTCTCCATCCTTTAAAAGCAGGGCCTGAGAGCCTAAGGATTAAACTTCAATCACTGCTAACATGGGTGCAGAGCTTGGGAGCTTGCCCAGGGCTTCCACAGTCACCGCCGTTAGTTATGATTCATGCTCCAGCAGCGCTGGGAAGAGGGCCGAGGGAACTGAGGCCGGGATGGGTGCGGAGGTGGCTCTGCCGGGGAGCGCCTATCCGGGATGTGGTCCGGACCCTGAGCTCGGCAGGACCTGTGCGCACCCAGGCAGCGTCGCGTCCTCCCCCAGGCTGCGAGAGGTTGCTCTGCCATCAGGCCATGGACCCCGAGCCGCCCGT